ATGTTATAAATTGATTCGCATTTTAATGAGGGAAATAAGTATTTGACCCCTCTGCAAAACATGACTTAGTACTTGGTGGCAAAACCTTTCTTGGCAATCACAGAGGTCAGACGTTTCTTGTAGTTGGCCACCAGGTTTGCACACATCTCAGGAGGGATTTTGTCCCTTTCCTCTTTGCAGATCTTCTCCAAGTCATTAAGGTTTCGAGGCTGACGTTTGGCAATTCGAACCTTCAGCTCCCTCCACAGATTTTCTATGGGACTAGCAGAAGTACCCGGCGTTGCCCGGGTGAAAAATATATTTCTTAATAACCTTACATATATACACAGATGGGCTGCTACCCCTGCCCCCCCCCCCCCCCCCAGCCACGATTACCTCGGCCGCTGTGCAGTAGTATGTACGGCCTATAGTGTGGTGGGTTGCCGAGGCCTAGTAGCGTGCAGAGCCTCCGGCCTCGCCTAAATTGCCCACCCGGCTGAGGCTCGGTACCGGGGCCGTTACCCCCCCCACCCCCCGCGCTACAATAATACTGTGTAATCGCTATAATTTTATTATCTACCGACCCTATAATAGTAATTGCACACATTGGGGTGGCGGGGGAGTGAAGAGGACGTGAAACTTTGATGAATTTACCTCAGAGTCGCGTGGTGGGTGTCGAGGCCTAGTACCGTGCAGAGCCTCCGGCCTCGCCTAAATTGCCCACCCGGCTGAAGCTGGGTACGGGTGCCGTTCCCCCCCCCCCCCCCCCCGCGCTACAATAATACTGTCTAATCGCTATAATTTTATAATCTACCGACCCTATAATAGTAATTGCACACATTGGGGTGGGGGGGGAGTGAAGAGGACGTGAAACTTTGATGAATTTACCTCAGAGTCGCGTGTTAATGCGTGCGCCTATTTTTAACGGGAATTAAAAATGGCGTCCACCCCGCGGCGAATGCGTCGCTATCCGTTGCCAGGGGCAACCGCCAGACCAATCGTGTCTCGCAAATCCCTGACATTTCGTCCAATGAAACTGCGTATGGTCCGATACACAGACACACACACAGACAGATAGATAGACAGATTTGCGATTTTATATATGTAGATTTAGGCCATTCCAGGACCTTAATGTGCTTCTTCTTGAGCCACTCCTTCGTTGCCTTGGCCGTGTGTTTTGGGGCATTGTCATGCTGGAATACCCATCCACGACCCATTTTCAATGCCCTGGCTGAGGGAAGGAGGTTCTCATCCAAGATTTGACGGTACATGGCCCCGTCCATCGTCCCTTTGATGCTGTGAAGTTGTCCTGTCCCCTTAGCAGAAAAACACCCCCAAAGCATAATGTTTCCACCTCCATTTTGACGGTGGGGATGGTGTTCTTATGGTCATAGGCAGCATTCCTCCTCCAAACACGGCGAGTTGAGTTGATGCCAAAGAGCTCCATTTTGGTCTCATCTGACCACAACACTTTCACCCAGTTGTCCTCTGAATCATTCAGATGTTCATTGGCAAACTTCAGACGGGCATGTATATGTGCTTTCTTGAGCAGGGGGACCTTGTGGGCGCTGCAGGATTTCAGTCCTTAACGGCGTAGTGTGTTACCAACTGTTTTCTTGGTGACTATGGTCCCAGCTGCCTTGAGATAATTGGCAAGATCATCCCGTGTAGTTCTGGGCTGATTCCTCACTGTTCTCATGATCATTGCAACTCCACGAGGTGAGATTTTGCATGGAGCCCCAGGCCGAGGAAGATTGACAGTTCTTTTGTGTTTCTTCCATTTGCGAATAATCGCACCAACTGTTGTCACCTTCTCACCAAGCTGCTTGGCGATGGTCTTGTAGCCCATTACAGCCTTGTGTAGGTCTACAATCTTGTCCTTGACATACTTGGAGAGCTCTTTGGTCTTGGACATGGTGGAGAGTTTGGAATCTGATTGATTGATTGCTTCTGTGAACAGGTGTCTTTTATACAGGCAACAAGCTGAGATTAGGAGCACTCCCTTTAAGAGTATGCTCCTAATCTCAGCTCGTTACCTGTATAATAGACACCTGGGAGCCAGAAATCTTTCTGATTGGGAGGGGGTCAAATACTTATTTCCCTCATTAAAATGCAAATCAATTTATAACATTTTTGACATGCATTTTTCTGGATTTTGTTGTTGATATTCTGTCTCTCACTGTTCAAATAAACCTACCATTAAAATTATAGACTGATCATTTCTTTGTCAGTGGGCAAACGTACAACATCAGCAGGGGATCAAATACTTTTTTCCCTCGCTGTATACGCTGGAACTCCTTTCCCTTCGAGGTCAGGACTTTAGAGACACTGCAAATCTTCAAAATATTTTTCTCTTCAGTTACTTTTAAACGTCTATATCACTTATTTACTTGGTTGTTAACTGTTTCATGCCTTTGCATGAATAGCACCCTAAGCATGATGATTGAAATGCTGCGACGTACATCCTGCAACTGCCCAGTGGGCCTTACCTGGCGTTAATCAATTGCCAGGTATTGATATGATGCTTGATGTCACAACGTTTCAAGCCCATCAAACTACTCCCTTACACAGCCGTCGGCAGATCGCAGATTGTTATATGCTCTGCACGTCAATGAGTCGGCTCGTGACCCCCGTTGTCTGTGGCGCATTGTGAAGGGTCCTGCTGCACGCCAACCACCCATCAACCAGTCAATCCGGACTGTGCACAGTACTTGGGACATTCTTCGCAAATAACATAGTGACGATCGAGATGGCAGTTTCTAAGTTGAAGGCAACAACATTCTCCTGGTCTGCCATCTTTGTTTTATCAACCTGGAACCAATGAAAAGGTCAACACTGGCAACAACGTCGGTGGCAGAGGTGTTGATGTTAATCGCACGCCTAAAAAATAAAGACATCGCCACTCAACTACATCCGCACGTGGATTTTCAAATCGTTCTTGGACTCGCTCATTGCCACCGATTGTCCACCCGGATTTTTTTCAGTGGGGGGGGGGGGGGGGGGGGTGTTTCCCAGACCATTTAAAAATTGTGCAGGTAACACCGCTCCTGAAAAAAGTTGTCTTGAGAGCCATAGTAACCCTGCAAACTGTGGCCCGATTTCAAACTCGAGTTACTTAAAAGGTCATGGTGTCCCTTTGTCTCAAGCAGTTACTTGAGAGAACACGATGGGACTGAGGACAGCGGTGGCGCATGCGCGAAATGCTAGTGGTACAGTATGTTATATCATAAGTCAGCGAATTGAGTGCGAAGCAACGTACATCTAAACGACGTATATTAGGGACCCCCCTGTACAATGGAAGTCTCATTGATCATATACTGTGGAGGAGGTTTAGCATCCTTTTCAATCGATTGAGATTATAAGATTGATTTTCTTTCGCCATTATAAAGTTCATAATAGAGATCCTTTTCGACGTGCATTGAGTCAAGGTCTACTTTGAAAGACCACAGATGATCCTTTAGCTCTGTCACATCCTATTTGGTTCTTTTGGTAAAGTCACGTATAGGTATAAAATAAAATAAATTAAATCACGACATTTCGGGCGCAACACAAGCGTCCGTCATCAAGTGGGACAACCACAGCAAGAAACAATTACTGAAGTGGGCAAAAGGGCTGCCGTGACAATCGTCTATACAGTATAGGTAAGAGAGGGGGGAGGAGCAAGGGAGGAGAGATAGAGAGGGGGGTGTGGGGTAGGGGAAGTGGAGCGCTGTTCGAGCGTTTGGAGGACGAGCAGACAAAATGGCGGTGGGGGGGGAGTGGGCAGGGCTGGGAGTGAGAGGCTGAAAAAACTGGAGATGCGGATATGAAGGCAACACCGTAAAGCAGTTAAGATTTTACCTGGTTAATAACATCCTTCCAATTATGCTCAATTTGTATCCATCTTCTTGGTTGAAGTTATGTCTGTTTATATATCTGGATGGCTTCATGAACAAACCTTTGATAGTAGCCCGAAGGATTGCAGAGTACCTTAGTCTCGGAAAAAACAATATCATGAGAGCACACAGCGTTATAACAATGGTCAGCAATGCAGAGGAATTGATATTGCCGTGTTTCAGATTTGCCTTGTGTTCGCGAACACGGTCCGAGATATGTCATTTCGTTTCCCCAATGTAACAGCCACCACAGGTGCAACTTGGTCTGTAGACTCCAGGATTTTGCATATCAGGAATGACATCCTTCACAGATGGGATTAGATCACGGATTTTGTGTACTCTATTGAATCAGACCTGGATCTTGTGTTTTATTTAAGATTTTGGAAATCTTTTGGTAACACCAGCTATGTATGGTAACGTGATGGTTTTGATCGGCATCTCAGGGGGTTGTTTCTCCATGGTTGGACAAACAGCTTTGCGAATAATGCGGTCCGAGTACCCATTCATCTTGAGGGCCTGGTGTACATGTTCCAGTTCACTGGCTAGGTGATGTTGGTCAGAAATGCAGTGGGCCCTATGGTGTAGTGTTTTGATAAGGGCATTCTTTTGTGCTGGATGGTTGTGGGATTCCGGTTTCAGATAGGAATCTGTGTGGGTGGCATTCCTGTAGACAGTGTCCCAACGAGCCATCAGGTCTCTTGACCTGATGGCTCTCATCAGTGAGGAGCGCTCCACTTCCCCTAACCCACACCCCTTCTCTAGATCTCCCCCCTTACTCCTCCCCCCTCACTTACCGATTTAGCCTCTTGTCACGGCAGCCCTTTTGCCCACTTCAGCAATTGTTTCTTGCTGTGGTTGTCCCACCTGATGACAGACGCTTGTATTGCGCCCGAAACGTCGTGATTTAATCTATTTTATTTTATACCTACGTGACTTTACCGAAAGAACCAAAGAGTATGGATCCCTGCAGTCACGAAAACCTAAAATCTCTGTCACATCCCAGTTTGCCTACCCCCTCTCTCGCACTATAGAAACCATAGCCACGTTACATGCTCGGACTTTCAGCAGAAAATAATTGTAGAAAGGCTCTGTTTGCAAACGGGATATATTGTTAAGCCGCCTAATCCCATGTGTGCGTGTGTGTAGACGGGGACAAAGCCCACCCTCGTTGTGGACGTTGGCTGTGGGAGCGGCCAGGCCACGGAGCTTCTGGCTTCTATCAGCACAAAAGTGCTGGGGATCGATGTGAGCCCATCGCAAATTGAAGAGGCGATGCTCGCCAAACATCCTGACAACATCACCTACATGTAGGTTCACAACCACACGCTCAGAGATACAGGACCCTTCGGCCTTCCATGGGCATGCATTCAAACATGCACACTAAGTGTGTTTTATAGGATTGAGTGAGTTAAGAGAGATTAGAGGCTGATTTGGTGGACGATGTTTGTGTACTATATCATTCCATATAAACAAAAAAACTAAACTTTTTTTATCTTACCGAGTAAGGTCCAAATGATAGATCCGCGAAGTGGCTTATCACGTGGACATTTATAACAGCCGAATTCTTTAAAGGCACAGATATAAAATGTGGAGGGAAAAACTGGAGAACCCGTAAAAAAATCCACACGACCACAGGGAGAACTTGCACACTCAAAATATACAGGTGTCCAGGTCTGGATCGCGAACCCACGACCTCCTATATACCAGGCGAGATAACTAACATGTCCTAGCGACCGTGGGGTCATAATATTGCGGTGGCATCCACTTGCCCTGCCACCAAGTAAAGGATCAGCAACAATACATCTGTCTGAAACATCGATGTTTCTTTTTTTATATCCGTTTATTGCAACCCTCTAACTTTAGAACAATGCAATGTTTTCAATGTTGTGGTCTATTTCACACCACCAAAGAACACGCTTGTCACGTGCGTGGGAAATTAAACTCACTGGGAGGATCAGTAACAAGGTAGAGTAACTTTCCTTTGGATGTATTTATAACAGATTGGACACCATAGGAGATGGCAGTTTTTCAGTATGATTGTAACATCGATGGGCATACTACTACTATGTGAGCCAGGAGACCATGGCACACCGTCTCTGGCTCTGAAGTCCGAGTTCGATTCCCACTTACGACCACCAACAAGGGCGACGATTATCCGGACTGGTCCTGTGCCTCCCCTCGATCGACTTGGCCTCAAATTAGTTCCTTGGTGCGGTGTGTAGTAATCATTGCCACCGGTGAAACAAAGGCGGCTGGAGGGTGTTATGCTTCGTGTAACAATGAACGAGCCACGATGCACATTCGGTTGTTTTTTTCGTCCCCCCCCCAACCCCCCATCGTAGGGTGGGGCCAGCTGAGACCCTTCCCGTAGATGATGGCTCCGTGTCGCTGCTGACCGCCTTCGTGTCAGCGCATTGGTTCGACCTGCCAGCCTTCATGCACGAAGTCCAGCGGGTGCTGCAGCCGCGTGGCTGCCTCGTGATTTACTCCTACATGTACCCATTTGACATCGAGTGTGGAGTTTTCTCGGAGAAACTCACACAGATCCTGTGGAAGGTGATAACATGCAACTTCAATATCAGGACGTTGTGCTTATTTTTGCTCGACTTTCTTTATTTTTGTATCCGCTTGAACCTTTCACGCTCATTACACACACAAAGTGCATGCCACAAATGAACCACAACACCTTGATGATCTCAAGGAGCATAAACCATCATCGTGCCTACTCTGCTCATCTTCAGCAGCAGCTGCTTTTGGCTGACCATCGCACAAAGACAGTATATGGAACAAGTGGGTTAATAACAGTTAATCAATTCTAGATTTGAAGCTTTCGTGACTGCAAGGATTCATATTCTTAGGTTTTTTCGGTAAAGTCACGTAGGTAAAACATTAAAATTAATAAAAGTAAAATAAAATAAAAATCACGACGTTTCGGAGGCAACACAAGCCTCCGTCTTCAGGTGGAACCGTCACAGCCCGACAGCTGTATCAAGTAAATGAGAGATTACAGGAGATACCACTCCGTATCGATGGGTATTACCTTGTTATCTCGGCATCTCTTAATTTTAATGTTTTACCTACATGACTTTACCGAAAAAACCTAAGAATAACAGTTAATCAGTCATACGATGCCTTGACACGGCATACAAATGGAAGGTGTATTAATAATATTTTTTTCAGCAGCACTAAGACTAGCTGTAAGAACGGTTACTTATTTTTATTTCTCTCAATGTCAATAGATTCTCTAATATAATTAGTCTTGGCCAGTAATAATTAGTTTTCCACAACACATGAAACGTTTTAAAAATCACTTGAATGTCCTTGTTGACAAGCATGTTCTGCAACTGCCAACAGTTGTGTTTGTGAGCATTTAATATGTATTTGCTGTTCTTTTATTCTCATGCGAATATCTAATCCCGTCTGATGTCAGAGTTGTCGCTTGGTAAAGCTGGTTGTAATTACTGGCGACACGTCACAGTAATGGAACTGTTTTTGGGGGTTATACTCTCCAATGCACAACTGGTTTAGTGCTGAACTAGTAACTAATTTGCTGCATTTTGTTTTACGTGACAAATCTTACAAATGGGCTGTGTCAGGGTGGTGGTGGTGGCAGGTTTAACGACACAGTTATATTTACATGATCGAACCCAAAAAACCTTATGGATAATATTGGTCGCTAAAGACTACTACTATGTGTTAAATTGAATGTGGTGATTGTCACCCACCAATGATTTGTGCCTTGCAACATTTACATGGACAAGCCCTGGCCTGGTTACACTGGGGAGAGGCTCGTGACATAACAATACTTATTATCTTCTTGGTTCTTTCGGTAAAGTCACGTAGAAGGGAAGTGACTTAGAAGGGAAGTGACTTTACCGAAAGAACCAAGAAGATGAATCCCTGCAGTCACGAAAGCTTTAAATCGAAATACTTATTATAATAAGGCCACAATGTTAACTTAATGAGTTGGTCTCACGCAATGTGGTGATGTTACATGACTGACGAAAATGGTGGCAGCACCGATTCAATGGCCACAATCGCACGTTTTACTCTCATCAATTAGAGAAAACGCCACCGAAGGATTGTAACCTTACCGTGGAGGTGGGGTTTGTGTGTTCCAATGACGCTCAGAGCTATGCCGCCTGGAGTCTTGTACTCCTGGTAGGATCTCCCTTGGCGAAAAGGTCTGGGGGAGGTTCCAGACAAATAACGGTAAAAAGCTTGGTGGCTGGGTGACCCACGTATTCTGGTCGGGCCCAACCTGACACAGCTACGTGGCACGGTCCTGTGGGTCCACCATCTGCAGGATGAAGGGCAGGTGCAATGCCAGTATGGCAGGGAGAGGAATGGTCTCAGACAGATTGAATCTTGGCGATGGAGACTAGCTATTGGGATATGTAATGTCGCATCACTGGGGGAAAGGAGCCAGAGCTGATGGAGGAGATGGAAAGGTACCGACTAGACGTAGTCGGTCTCATCTCCACATACAATATTGGCACTGGAACCAAACTTCTCGATCGGGGATGGTCTCTCTCCTATTCCAAAGTAACTCTGGGTGAGAGCCCCATGCGGGTGTGGGGATAGTCAATCCCCCATCTGGGTGCTGTTCAGTTGGAGTTTGTCTCAGTGGATGAGACAGTCACCTCAATGAAACTTCGGTTCTCAGAAAGGAAAACTCTGTTGTCTGTACTTATGCACCAAACAGCAGTTCATAGAATTCGGCCTTTTGAAGACGGTGGGTGCAGTGCTCCACAGAGTGCTGCCTACCGACTCCATAGTCTTACTGCTCAACTTCAATGCTCACTTGGGAAACGATGGAGATACCTAGATAGGCATCAATTGGAGGAATGCCCCCCTTGATCTGAACCCGAATGGAGAGATGTTATTGGAATTCTGGCTCGTCAGGGAATGTCAATAATAACAAACACTGTGTTCGAACACAAGGATGCTCATAAGCGTAATTGTTACCAGAGCACCTTGGGCAGAAGGTCAATGATTGACTTTATAGTTGTATCATTGGACCTAAGGCCGTATGTTCTGGACACTCGGGTGAAGAGAGGAGCAGAGCTGTCAACTGTACACCACATGGTGCTAAGTTGGATCTGATGCTTGGGGCACTAACAAGATAGACGTGGAAGGCCCAAACGAATAGTGCAGATTTTCTGGGAAGGTATGGTGGAAACCCCAGTGCAGAAATATTTCCAATTCCACCTCCCGGGAAAACTTTTCCTGCACTCCAGGGGAGGTCGTGGACATTGGCCTGAAGGAAGCTGGTACCTAGCATGGCGGCAACCCTAGGACCCGCTGGTGGACACCAGTGGTGAGGGAAGCTGTTATGTTGAAGGAGGCTTTCAGATTAGAGCGCTAAGCCGCAACATTTACAATCTGAGTACGATGTTTCACCAGTAATTACAACTAGCTTCATCAGGCGACAGCCAGAAATACTCAGATTGTAAATGTTATGGCTTGGCTCTCCAACACACCAGTGTGCTGTACTAGTGACAAATTGGCATGTTCTGTTTACGTGACAACCCTTACTAGTTGGCTGTGTTGGGTGGTGGCGGGTTTTAACGACACATTTAAACTGTACGTTATCTAACCCAAAAACCTCTTATGGATTTACAGAACTTTGAAACTGATGTCTGCCTTTATGGTTTTCCAATGTTTGCACTCAAAAAACACATTCCTCCGGATTGAGTGAGATCCAGAAAGAAAGATTGGCGTCGCAAGTCAATGCCGTGACAATTTAAAATGCCGAAGAAACCCCCGGCAATTTGTATTGGCCATTGCCGAAATATGTTGAAGAACCCCCTGGGCCTAACGAGTTCAATGTAATTGTCTATTGTGGATTGCTGTTGTTGTTAGGTAATCGAAGACCTTCGCCCGTACGAGAGTCACAAGATGAACCACGTGCGTGAAGATTATACTGCCATGTATGAGGCCATTCCGTTTGCGGACAAGAAGAGGTTTGAATGTTTTAATGGCCAAAACTGTAAATCTGTAGAAGGGGGGGGGGGGCGTTATCAACATTAAAAAAACGAAGCAGCTGGGAAGGCAACATTGTAGAAGATGCCTGGGTCTTTGAGTCTGGGGCCAATTGAACTTAACCATAAAAGTCCAAGACAGCGTTATTTGGCTCCTAATGCTTAGTTCCCCCCCCCCCATTCTCATCCCGCATTTAATTATTATCAGTGTCTTGCCATGAGGCAAAGTATGAATACTGTACTCTTGATTATCCACGTGCGGTTTATTCGATTTGCAGATTAACTATGCACCTGAGATTGACTAATAACTCATGGATTTTCCCTTAAGCCCAAATAATTTAAAAACATTGTTATTCATTGTCATTCTTGGACATGTTTATCACAATTCACGCACTTAAATTTAACAAATATGTTGCTCTGGTTAATCTGAAATCCACGAGATCAGCTCTACGATACAGTAGTTCCATATCTTTACAACAGTGGGCTGAGTTTGATATTAATAGGCGTGGCTCTGCTGTCAACTTAGTAAGCCGAGTCTTCTGCTGCTCAGGAGTAGGAAAGTGTTAACACTGAGCACGAGCATTGATCGTTAGTATTCATTCTAAATATTTCTTTTAGTTCATTTAGTTCATTAAAAAACAAAATTTTCTTAGCATTTTTTGTATAGAAAATTTATATTTTTTGATTATCCGCCATTTTGAATTATCCGTGGCTGTCATACCCTTCATTAGCGGAGATAATGGAGTCGTACTGTATATATATATTTTAAATGACAGAGCAGTGCAAAACACCTGTGTTAGAGAAGAGCCCACAGAAGTGGCTATTACAGAGCCACTTCCTGACATTCCTTCTAGTGACATCCGGTCCACACCGTAAGGGCAGCATGTTACCACCTGCATTGCCACTGAGAGCAATGTTCACCACATGACATTTAAAGCAATATACCAGAAAAGGAAGACTTGATCACAATTCTGGCAAATGGTCCAATTAAGCTGGTGGTTGTAATCGCCAACAAATCGTCAAATTCATTGTAAGTATTGTAGTGGGTTTCATCTCTAACAAACAACCGGTTAGTGCTGAACTAGTCTCTAATCGGCACGTTTTGTGCACGTGGGTTAACAATTCATTGATAGTTACGCAATCTAACTAAAACACATTTTATGAATTCCATGAATGTCTGCTCTACGTCTGGCATGTACAACTACCACGTGGTCTTACCCAAACAAATGTGGTGTTAATTCTAGGTTTGTTATTCGATTAAAGCTTAGCAAAGCAGCATGCAAGTTGTGTTTGATGACGCAAGCTTCATGTTTATAACGTACGTTTCATTAGTTAACTTTACAATTTAGGTTTTTGTAATGAAATACAAAGCCAGTTCTGCAGTCGCTGACAGGCGAGTCAAAGTGTCTTTAAGGAGAGTTAATTATGTCGGCATTGCTGGTTTCTCTAAATCATCCGCAGGCTGGAGAGCGTCAGGTTAATTGCACTCGTCAAACTGCCGGAATTCATGGGGTTAATCGGTAGCTTCGCCGAATACCAGGCGCTCAAGGCTGAAGATCCTCTTGCTGCACAGGCCCTGATGGAGGACACCGAGAAAAGGTAAGCTCCAGTAATAATAGATCGATTTATATTGATGCGTGATAATCTAGCTTCTTCCAACATTATCTGGTGATTCCAGGCCGATCCGACAAACCCAGTCAAAAGACTGTAACCCAGTCCGGCAATCGTAAAACACATGGTTGTGTTAAAACAAAAGCGTAGTACTACGTACATCTGACTTGACTTGTGTTTTCTTGTCAATCAACCTCCATCGACAGCAGTGTGGTGTGTGGAGCAGGGTGCAGTGATTTAATAGCGGCCCTTTACTGCATTGGCATTGCTGTTGCATTGGATTGTTGCTGCATTGTCATGCTGCCCCGCCCATGCTCTTATTGCTGCTGATACTTGGGCTACGCCCATCTTCAAACCTTCATAAACAGTTTGCCTTTAGAGACTAAGCCCTTTTCCTGATGAAGACCACTTATGTTGCGATCGAAACGTCGTGATATTTGTATTCACTTTATTTTCATTATTATTTTTTCTATCTACGTGACTTAACCAAAAGAACCAAAGAATATGTAGACACGTACTCTTGACCCACAAGCGCCGATCTGCTAAGCAATTTGCAGCCACGCTTCATCACATGCTTCACGTTTTGCTCACTATGATTGGCTGTTACAATCCTGACCTGTGTACGGGGGGAGCTAAAAGGGGGCGGGACTCTGTTGTAAATGGGCGTAGCCAGACGCACTTCAGCCATGCCTAGACACAACGTGCTTGTCACACAATTCCTCGCCTAGACGTGGACAAAGCAGCTGCAGGCGATTGATGAGAGTGATTTAGTTTTTTTGCGCAACTGGACACATGAGTGTAGATCCAGTTTCACAGACATCAATGATCAATACGCGAATGGGTATTGATAGGTCAGATGGTCTACTCGTTGCATTTCAGAGTTCAAGAGACTCTGGGTGACGCAGCAGCCTCTGCTGAAATGAAGATCATGGTGAAGACCGTTCTGCTTCTGAGCTGCAACAACTCTCAGAGCTCATAATGCCACTGCCGTGACTGAGGGCTCAAAGCCACCTTTGTTGCAAACAATACAGGGACTCCTCTACTTAGGAACATTCGATTTACGAACTTTCATAGATATGAACAAACATCTCCGTATGTCCAGTTGCCTGTTCGTACCGAGAGTCGTAAGTTCAACTGCCACTCTATAGATGGCGGTGGAGGCATCTACATCTGCAGAACACGAAGAACCATTGGTATCTACATCTACAGCAGATTATACAACTTGTAAAGCCATTCCCGTGTTTAGTCTATTTGCCGTATACCATGTTTGGAATCGACAGGAGTAAAGTTGGACTTACAAACAAATCAACTTACAAACATACCTCTGGAACCTCACTCGTTCGTAAGTAGAGGAGTCACTGTCGTGTCGTTTCAAATAAAGCAACATAAGGGATTGCAGTTGTGATTGTCTGTGTCGTTTACTTATACTTTTTGAGTCGTCAGGAATGCATTTTCGCGCATTTTTAAGGTATAACTCGATTCTAACAGTTTGGTAAATAATAAGATATATCTAACAAAGATGGGTCACTACATTGCGTGACTTTCAGATGCACTTCTGCGGTCATCTGTAATGCTCTTCCGATATTTGGAAGCTACTGGAGCTGTGCACATTTACATAATCTAGCTTGACAAACTCATTTCTTTAGAACTGATTGTTGTGTTTAGTTTCTCCTTCCCCGGCACCTTCAATTTAGCACCGTTGGATATGTACAGTGCGAAAGAAATTCAATATACATACAAATGTGGCCATGAGATAGGTCTTGCCATTGTGACTCATTTTTAAATCCTTTATATTAAGTTCGCGTGCTTGCTTGCTTGCGTGCTTGCGTGCTTGCTTGCTTACGACCGTGCAAATCTTTCGGTAGTTTTTTAACCCACTTCCCGTGATCCAATCGAGCTGACATTTTGCACACAGACTCGTTGTGCGAGACAATTAATGTTCGTGAAAAAAATTTCCACAATTTTACACTGTTTAGGGAAAACATTAAATATTTAATTACCAATTGCATAATACTGGCAGACAATCATCTGACCCATAGGTGGCAGCCATCTCAAGCCAGAGGACGAGAGGACTCTAGCCGCCACGCATATAAAGGATTTATAGTGAAAAACTTAGTTTTTACGGGTTATACTTATTCAAGTTAAATTACTAGAATTAGAATGCTTATTTAGCCTGGAGGAGGAATCCGATGAGCTATGAAGCTCTGTTTCACAGATGTCCAGTAGGGACACGGAGTCAGACAGTTACAAACAATAAATAATACAAAAACACGAGTGCAACGTATAAGAAAGTTAAACCAATAGCTTAAAAAGTATATACAATAAAACGAAAATTATCTTACCAGTCAAAGCCCACTAAGCTATTAGTTTATTTTTTTAGAAGCGACCTGACCACATTATAGCTCGTCGAAGTAGCGTATCGTTTGTAAATTTATAGCAACAAAATACTCTAAATGAATCTGTCTAATTGTGGAGGAAGAAACCGGAGGACCCAGAGAAAAAAAATCCACCATGAGGAGAGACGCAAACTCCATACAGTTTAACATGTAGGCTTTCGCGACCAATATCATCCATAAGGTTTTTTTGGGTTAGATTGCATCAATATATAAATGTGTCGTTAAAACCCGCCACCACCAGACAACCAACTAGTAAGAGTTGTCACGTGAACAGAACATGCCAATTCGTCACTAGAACAGCACACCGGTGTGTTAGAGAGCCAAGCCACAACATTTACAATCTGAGTAAGACATTTCGCCAATAATCACAACTAGCTTCATCAGGCGACAGCCAGATTTGTGAAGTCCACCCGTTTCGTTCCTTATATAGAGGCATAGATGTGGTGACCACACCTCTGCGCTCTTGCGCAAAGTGGGGTTTTAACGACACATATTTACGCGATCTAACCAAATAAACCTCATGGATGATATTGGTCGCGAAAGCCTATGTGATATAACTACTTTGTTTCATCAAACCTACGTATTTATTAACATATTTATTCACGATTAACAACCAAATGGATGCAAGGATGCAGTAAAGGTTAAGAACCGTTGTGCTAGATGGCATCAGGAGTTGGTTGATGCGTCTATAGTGGCAGTGTTCTTTACTCAGCTTGTGTCTTGTAAGGGGCCGCCAGAGGCCCGCGGTGGCCTTGCAATGAAGAAGACTAAGCTACACCACTGCTATACACTACGATACACTACATTACTATATACCTCACTATACACCTCACTATACGCTATACTATACACTACTGTACACTACACGACTATGTACTACACTTATATACGACACTATACACACCACTACACTACACCAGTGTTCAGTGTGAGACATTGGTGCGAGGGCCGCCACTCATTTAAACTATTGGGGCTTTGTCAGAGCAGCAGCACGATGATGATGGGGGGTGTTCCCACCGTGTGTATTAGGAATCTCCTCGCCAACCGCGACATTTGCTAGGAACCTAACCCCCGCGGTTGGCGAGGGATTGCTTGTACAGTCGTTCCTCGGTTAACGTTTTTAATACATTCCACAAAAACTGTTGACCGAAATAACTTCATAACATATAGGAATTACACATTATAAGCGTTAATCCGTTACCAAGACGATCGCAAGTTAACGTATTTGACCTCAAAAACAGTTTATAACATTTAAATGCCCAATGCCAATTAATAAACATTATAAGAACATGTTAAAGGATGAATATGAATCTAAATATAAACGGTTGGCCCTATCCCTCTCTTCTCGTGATCATGACGATGGGACAGGCCGTTGTGTTCTGTCCTCTTGAGGATCGAGTGACTTCACCACCGAGGGGCGCCAGATGATTGTGGAACGATAACTCTGTTTCAAAATGTTCTTCTGAGGAGCATTCGAGTCTGTACAGAGTCAATCTGAATAGCTGCCCTGTACCCTGAATTGATTACTCCACTGGTAGGCGTGGCCTACTGTGCAGTTACGTGAGTTTATGGGTCCAATACATTGTCATCATTAACTGTATTCATAATTGTAAGTGTGATTCATTACATTAGGCCCATACCGGATACATAAAGAAAACCAATTGAGGTCGAAACCCGCTGATAAATAGGACGTCGCTGATTGGCTTAGGGCGTGGCTCAGCCCAACTTCCGAGCGCTTAGATTAGCCGAAATTGGCGCCACCATGTGCACAACGCAAACACGCTACCGTTAGGGGCCAACCATTTAGTACTTACCCAAAAATCTGTCAACTTGACCCTTCCCCCCCCCTCCCTGTTTGCACGCGTACTTTGTACACTTCCCCCCCCCACCTGCGTACATACGCTTAACGTACCCACCCTCCCCCTCCAAATCCTATAGAACGGCCGATATTTAATACACACAGAAACAATCAAATATTACAAATATTAACGTGTTTAAGAAAACAAATTGTCCATCGCCGGTTGCATTAAATAATTAAGTTGCGTACCTTAGCCACTTATTTTGCTGAGCTGCGTGATGTCTGCAGTCAGGGGCACGGTGGAATACCAGTGACACCTCTCCCACAGTCCTACTTCTCACCGTAGTACTTGTCTGACAGATGAAGACACTGAACCGCTGTTCATTTGAAGGCCAATGTAGACAAATGATTATCGAGGCTTCACCCCACCCCCGTTTCCTATGCGTACGTACACTTTCAGTAGACCCCCCCCCATACGCAAACGTACGCATTTGGGTTAACCCCCTCTCCCCCTGCATACGTACATACTAAACTAGCATAAGTACCCGGCGTTGCCCGGGTGAAAAATATATTTCTTAATAACCTTACATATATACACAGATGGGCTGCTACCCCTGCCCCCCCCCCCCCCCCCCCAGCCACGATCTCCTCGGCCGCTGTGCAGTAATATGTACGGCCTATAGTGTGGTGGGGTGTCGAGGCCTAGTACCGTGCAGAGCCTCCGGCCTCGCCTAAATTGCCCACCCGGCTGAGGCTGGGTACCGGGGCCGTTACCCCCCCCCCCCCCCCCCGCGCTACAATAATACTGTCTAATCGCTATAATTTAATTATCTACCGACCCTATAATAGTAATTGCACACATTTGGGTGGCGGGGGAGTGATGAGGACGTGAAACTTTGATGAATTTACCTCAGAGTCGCGTGGTGGGTGTCGAGGCCTAGTACCGTGCAGAGCCTCCGGCCTCGCCTAAATTGCCCACCCGGCTGAGGCTGGGTACAGGTCCCCCCCCCCCCCGCGCTACAATAATACTGTCTAATCGCTATAATTGTATAATCTACCGACCCTATAATAGTAATTGCACACATTGGGGTGGGTGGGGAGTGAAGAGGACGTGTAACTTTGATGAATTTACCTCAGCGTCGCGTGTTAATGCGTGCGCCTATTTTTAACGGGAATTAAAAATGGCGTCCACCCCGCGGCGAATGCGTCACTACCCGTTGCCAGGGGCAACCGCCGGACCAATCATGTCTCGCAAATCCCTGACATTTCGTCCAATGAAACTGCGTATGGTCCAATACACAGACACACACACAGACAGACCGACAGACAGACAGATTTGCGATTTTATATATATAGATGGATGCCCCCTTGGTCAACATTTGCAACGTTCAGTCGAAACCATGAGGGCTACTATAGGAGGCGAAACGTTAACCACAAAAAACGTAAACAAATGTCACTGTTAACCGAGGGACTAACTGTATATGTGTTTAAAATATATTTACAGTAGATCATCGTATGAAAAAATAAGAATAGGATTTACCCCTACGTGACTTTACCGAAAGAACCAAAGAGTATGGATTCCTGTAGTCACGAAACCTTCAAATCAAGATTTACCCTTTCTGGCAATAAAAGAGGTGTTAAGATGTCCAAACACCAAATAGAAACCTTTTGCAAGGAATCATGTCTGCATTAACCACACATACTTGTGGTAAATATGGGAACAAAAACATGCTCTGATAACACTGGTCTACAGCCAAAATGCTTCTGAAATAAATCTAGTCCAACTTTACCAATTATGGGTCACTGAGAATGAAAAGGATGCTTAAAATTGTTGATTGGCTCTAGTTGTCAAGATATGTTACTGGGTCAGTATATACAATGGCGGAGGATAAGTGAGTTATAAAGGGAAGGGATCTCAATTTAACCAGAAATGACGAAACTACATACAGTATTTGACTGGATATATGAATAAATCTATGACTGGATTTGGACAGTACTTGCTTTTTGAGCAAAACAATGAATGATGCAATCTGAACCTGGTATTATGTCATCCATGATACGCATTGCATGTTATTCCTAGAAGCCATGGGTAATGCAATAAT